TGGAGTCTGAGGCTCCTCACCTCCAAATTCATTCATGAAATGTTCAAAATTATCTGTAGGGACTTTTTTTTTTGAAGATGAGAGAATGCTAAACTATCAGGGAAAACACTCTGTGGCTGTATTGTAAAAATAATAATTACTACTTTTTTCTATAATTCTTTGGTTTCTTAAAAGTTGCCGTATGTTGCATTTCATTTGATTCAGAAGATTATTTCATTAATAGCAAAAGAAACAGGTTTAGAGAATTTTGCCTATTCAGTGGCAGAACGGGGGCTCAAAGCTAGGTTCTCTGTGCGTCATTTGAGGGCTTGCCTCCTTAGGACTCAGAGCAGGGATGTGCTGGGCATGTGGTTTTCATGCTCCTGGACCATCAGAATGATGTGAACCTTCAGGGTAAATCTTCAGATTAGTCACCCACTCCTCAGTAGAGAGGAGTTTCTCTCTCATGCTTTGTGGTGCTCAGATACTCCTGTGAAATCTGAAGAGACTTCCAAATAGCAGGATTTGGTTACCAAATCCTTTGACCTTTGGTGAGAATGTATGTTTTGGAGGTATGCCTGGTGAGAGCCATGAAGGGGGCCAGTAAGTGTAAGTTAGTAAGGAGACTGGATACCTGAAGCTGTTTATTACTCTTAATGCAAAGTTCTGTTTGCTTAATAATAAAAAAAAAAGTAGGAAAATGTGTTAACTGTATCTATAGGCTCACTTTTTAGCCAAACATATGATAATTATTTGTTATTTAAAATGTTTGATACCTTCTATTTTGCTTTAATAATGGGATTGTTACTAAATCAACATTATAAATATATGGTCCTAAGCCTGAATTGAAACAGATCCCGACATGAAGGTACTAAGTACCTAAACCTTCTTCCTTCCTTCTTCCTTCCCTCCTCCTTTCCTTCTTTCTTTTCTACATCTTTTTTTTAAAATTTAAACAAAATATTTTATTGATTTGTTAAATGGCATTATTCAGACGTTTAAGACCTGTATATTTCTACTTGGCATCTACATATTGTAAAACCTCATTCGTGGTCCTAGTAACTCAAACAGATGGCCTTCAGCTCTTTGCTCTGGAGTTTTGTTTTGTTTCCCTTTATCCATTTTGATTCTCAAATTAACTTCTTTTTTAGTTCTAGGCACAGAGTAGATGCTCTCCTTGCTTTGATTAAATTTTAAGTGATTACTGAAACCATCTAAGCTAGCAGATACTCTAATATAGTTCCTGGAGAGTATTAAAAGAGTATTTAATTATATGTATTTAGATATTTTCAAAAAGAGAGTTGGTCTCTCTCTTTTCTGAACGCCACTGTAGTTTATCTGCTCTCGTCTTAATGGTTTTCTATGTGTATATATGTTTTTATTTTCCCATTAGATTTCATATTCCTGGTGTCAAATTAGTGTAGCCAAAGCCCACAGCATCTCCCTAGCACTTCTTAGTTTTTCAGTGAATTTTTTTGATGAATAAATAATATTTCAGGTGACTTTTTTTTAGAGCAAAACCAGGTCTATAATTTCACTATTCTGTTTTAGTCATAAACAGTGACATTGCAAGTGAATCTTAGCCCTTGGAGTCAAGGAGTAAAGTCAAAACTCAGCTTAGAGGCTGTCTGTTTTTACATTAACGCTTGGAAAATAAATTAGTTATAAGTAGGGGAAATTTTGCTTTATTTTATCCATATAACTCTCTTTTCCACAGTATTAGTGGAGCTAGATAGAGCCTTGGGGGGTTTTGCAGCATTCTCACTGGCCTTTACCAATTGTTTAAGCTGCTGTTCACTGAAATCCCATCTGTGTTGAAGCTCTGTTCTGCCAGTTTTTTCTACAAAACTCATACTACGCCCCATGCCGTGACTACTCACTAAATTGTTGAGTAACACATCCCAGCTTAAGGCTGGCCAGTGTTTCTTAAAGAACACGAGTTCCCTGGTGCTTTTTAAGAATATAGATGCCACACATCTTCCCCTGAACATCCTGAATCTGTAGGTTCAGGATGTATCCTTGGCTTCTCATGGTCCTAGAATCGCTTCTTGGAAAACATTGCCATTGAGTCAGACATTTATTTTGAATGGAATTCTGGGACTTTTAAAATGATGATTCTTCTAAAAATTGTGAAGCATTCTAAATGTGTTTAAAAACTGTGTTATAGGTGTATTTATAAATTCTTTGACTTTGCAGAATCAGTACTGATTTATGTGGCATTGCAGATGTAATTATAAAATGCTTTCTTTGCTGCAAGTTTATTGATCTAGTGTATATTAACATGCCATTTTAAACACAATTTTTATTCATTAAAAAACCTCATTTCTAATAATAAAACTCCCATCTATTAGGAATGAAAACAAACCTCAAATTGCAATATTTTTTCTGCTGTTAATTTCTACATACACGATATTTACCTGCATTTAATCCCACATTTTATGTGTGACCTTTTATTGGAGAAAAATTTTCAGTATTTAAAATGAAGGTTATCTGCCTTCTTAGCACAGTAGGCAGCACGTCATTCTCATAAAGTGAAGGTACATAAACAAAATTTAAAAAATAAAATGAAGGTACAATCTAAGATGCCTTTATTACCTCTAGTAATGGTCCATATTTGGTGCTAATATTGATCTTGAAGTTGGATGGTGCTGAATTTTTTGATTATTGAAGAGTCTAAGGATTAATTTCAAATGTTTTTTTATAAATGTTGGTTCTCTGAAAATTAAAATGAACTGACAATACACAGTAATTTAATGCAGACTTCTATTAATTACAGCTAAATGAATGGTTACATAGCCCAGTGAGGTCATTATGATAATACACGTGGCTTAATATTCAATATAAGGACCTTTACCCACCCTCCTTTTTAATTTTACAAATGCATCTTTTATAAGAGGAGTCTAGCATTCTTTAGAATGTGGTGCATTGAAAGGTTGGAAATTAGGAGAATTACTGTGGAACTTATAAATTTATGGGTGGTCAGAATTCCTCACAATGCCTTAATCGATTCTTTCTTTCCTTTTTTTAGGGACTTTCTCCCTCGAGGGTCGGGCATTGTAACGAGAAGGCCTCTTGTGCTGCAGCTTGTTACTTCCAAAGCAGGTAATGACTGAGGATGTTTGCCATATGGCTGAGAGTGTCTTGGGGTACCTGTTGCCTGCATTCCTGGGTGCTGGGTTGTAGCAACAGAAGCATTTTTGTGATCACTCTGCTGTGGGTAGCTACCTATATTTCTCTCCAAAATGCTCCCTTCTTCATTGCTTTTTGAACTTTTAGTACATTAAAAGGAGAGTCTCATTCGCATATAGACTGTAAACATCTGCTATTTTTTATGCCTAGAAGATATTTTCCCATTGTAATGCATCTGTATAATTTTACAGTGTGACATAATAATAACCCTTTGGTATACTTCCTTCCTGCTTGTGCATGTGTGTGTGTGTGTGTGTGTCTGGGAATTTTTTAAAAGTAATTTAACATCCATCTAATATCTGCATGCATATGTATAATGTATGTATATCAGTGTCTGTATTTATGGCCATATCTGTATTTAGATCTAATGTGCTGTTTTTGTCACTCTCTTTAACACCATGACGATTTGATGGGCAAATGAGCTTTTTCACTTTAAATTCTTAGTTACTGGTGATGTTGATTTTTTGTGTGTGTTTATTTGGTGTTTCTTTTTCTTTTTATTTTTTGTGAATTGGCTACTTTTATCTTTCCTTATTTCTTTTTGACAATTTTACTACTTTTTCTAACAATTTCTTCAAATGCTTAAGATTGAAGCACTCATAAAGATCATGCCTCATAATGTCAAAAACCAAGGTCGTGGAAGTTTACCCTTACGCTTTCTTCTAGGAATTTTACAGTTTTGTCCTTACGTTTAGGTGTTTGATGCATTTTAAGTTAATTTTTATAATTTTATATGTTACATATATATAATTTTATATATGTCCTTTCTGCATGTGGACATCCAGTTGTCTCAGCACCATTTGTTGAAAATACTATTCTTTCTCCATTGTATGTTTTTGGCACTCTTGTTGAAAATCATTTGGCCATGGATATATGGGTTTATTTCTGAACTCCCAGTTCTATTCAGTTGATCTATATGTCTGTATTTGTGCCTGTACCATACTGTCTTAGTTACCCTTGCATTGTGCTAACTTTTGTAAATGGTAAGTACGCATTTTTCTACTTTGTTCTTTTTCAAAGTTGTTTTGGCTATCCTGATTCCTGTGAAATTCTATGTGAGTTTGAGAATCACATTGTTTTATACCAGGAATGCAAGATTAATGTCTGAAAATCAAGTAATGTAGTGTATCATATCCATAGAATGAAAACAAAAATCACAGGATCATCTCAATAGACTTAGAAAAAAGTGTCTAGTAAAATCTCATACCCCATTATGAAACAATTTCCTCAACTTGAGAATGGACATGTATGAAAACCTCACAGCTAACATCGTACTCAATCGTGGAAGACTGAATGTTTTCCCTGTAAGATTGGAGACAAGATAAGGATGTTCACTCTTGACACTTCTATTCAATGCTGTACTAGAGGTTCTAGCCAGGGCAATTGGGCAAGAGAAAAAAAAAAATAGAGGACATCCATATTGGAGAGTATAGAGTAAAATTATCTCTATTTGCAGATGATATGAGCAAGTAGGTAGACATTCCTAAGGAATTCACTAAAAAACTATTTGAGCTAATAAATGAGTACAGGTTGCAGGGTAAAAGATAAAGACATAAAAATCAGTTGGATTTCTGTCCACTTGCAATGTACAATCAAAAAATTCAAACAATTTAATTTACAATAGCATCAAAAAGAATACACTACTTAGGGGCTGCTCTCTCTCTTGCCTTTTGAGAAGGCCCGCACTCTGTGGAGTATGTATCTGCCTTTACTTTAACCACTCAACCCCCATGTACATCTCTCTAAATAAATCTACTTTTACTTAAAAAAAAATCTACTTTTACTAAAGAATAAATTCAACAAAAGAAGTACAAAACTAATACTCTGAAAACTAGAAAACATTATAGAAAGAAATTAAAGAATAGCTAAATAATTGGAAAAACATCCCATATTCACTGATTGGAAGACTTAATGTTAAGATGGCAATACTTCTCTATACTTAAAGTGGATCGACAGATTCAATGCAATCCCCATCACAATCCAGTTGGCTTTTTTAGTAGAAACTATAGATGTTTTTAACCATTTCTTAACATTAAAAAAAAATCTGAGTTTAATCCAAAGGAATGGACTCAAATGCTCTTATTTGGAAAAAGTAAATTGCTTACAAATCTACAATGCACCAGCTGCTAGTCTAAGATATAGGAGTGACTCTGGAGATATAGGAGTGACTAGGATAAAGTCTATCCCCTTCTGGTGATTTATATTCTGGTTATGTAATTTTTAATGTATAGAAGTTTTATTCTTCATGGTTGTAAAATTGATACATTTATGTTTAACAAAAAGTAAATGTTTAGCATATTTTTTTCTTTTCATACTTAAAAAAAATTTTTTTTAACATTTAGTTCTGAAATTGATTTTCACTTATGCTGAAATATTTTTTCCTAAAAAATCTCCTTTAACTTATATTCTTACTGCCATCTATTTCTGAATATCTTTTCTGTTTTATCATGCCAGTACTACAGTGTGTAATTTTTAACGGTTTATAATTTGCTTTAATGTCTATCAGGGCTATAGTCCTCCTCCAATTATTTATTTTTATTTAGGGGTTCTTTTCTGTTTGTGACAAAGTTCAGAATAATTTCGTAAAGCAAAACTATAGCCACTAGGGTTATTTTAACTTCAGTTGATTCATTAGGGAATAATCAGTATCTTTAAAATATTCATTTTTTTCCCAACCCAGGGACTGGCTATATTTTTTATTTGTTCAAATCTGTATTTTTTTTTTAGAAAAATTCTTGATGGTCTTTATACAGTGTCCATGCATTTCTAGTTAGGATGTTCATATTTGGTTTTTTTTTTTTATTCTTGTGGTTTGAATGTGGTTTTTTTTCCATTATATTTTCTAACTTGTAATTGCAGATCTATTTTTAATTTTAATTTTTAAATTAACCATCTTACTCTGCATTTGACAGACTGAAATATTTTAATGGATTCTCTTGGGTATTTTAGTTAAATAGTAATTTCATTTGCATTTCTTAATTTATTCAACAAATACTTACCATGCAAATACTGAGATGGCTGAGAAAAGAGATGTATTGACGAGAATATTAATAAGCACCATTGCAGTGGGGGTTTTTTGCTGGGTATTGCCATGGGAAAGATATTCTTACATGTTGAGCTCCTTTGAGAAGGTACATCACATGCTTTCTTCTTTATACCCTTTTGTCAAGTCTTCCGATCTTGTCCTTTCTAAGCCCCTGGCATTTCTTTTATTACTTCCCATTAATCAGTGAGGCTCATAACTCATGTCCCTCCTCTCTCTTCATGTGAAGTAATCTAAAAATTCTTTCCTCAGGAAAACTTACTGTCCTCACAATCCTTCAGGAACCTCAAAATGGGGCTTTTGCATTGCATCACCTGTTCTAGCTGATGCCAGCTGAGAGCTGCCCTCCCCCAGCACTTTTGTTTTACCCTAAAGGCCACTGTTCATAGGAAAGTCTGGGGTATGAATACAGGCTTGGGTTGATGCAAGACTAACAAAATGGCAAAAAGAAACAAGAGGGGGATACATTGTCACTGCTCATGTAGTTTACGGGTGCTTTCAGATCCTGACTGGGATAAGTTCCACAAATACCACTCTTGGTAGATTCATTCATTCAACCAATGTTTATTGAGTGATTCCTGTGTACCAGGCAAATATCCCTGTCATCATGGAGCTTATATTCTTGTGGAGAAACCAACAATAAGAACAAAAAAAAAAATGTTAGGTGATGAAGAAAGTGAGCAATCAAGCCATGACGTTATTTGTGTAGGCATAGGGAAGTTAGAAAATTCTAAGATGGGAGCTGCTTATGTGTTTGAAGTTTAGGAGGCCAGTAGGTCTGGAGGTGGAGTGAGTTTGGAGGGGCAGTAGAAGATGGGGTAAGGAGAGACAGCATTGTTGACACAAGAATAAAGCTGACTGGTAGGGCCTTGTGGGCCAGGGACCTCGAAAGGGAACATGATAGGAGGATTAGAGCTTTAAAGTGGGTGTCGTTGACTGTAAGAGAAGGAAATGATAGAGTGATTCAGGGATTGGGGAGTGGGTTAATACTTCCTTCATTCATGAGGAGGGCAGAGGGACGTGTCTTCTGTTGCACCCAAGTGGAAAGAGGAGAATGTGGGGGAAACTGTAGGTAAATCTGTACTTGTAATGAATTCCTCGTTTGATGACTTTATTTTCTCTAGGAGAAGTAGGAGACAAAGTATAATGATTATTTTATCTTTTTATTTCCATTAGCATGTCTCTCCTTTCTCTTTAATGCCCTATTACATTGGCCAGGACTTCCAGAACCATGTTGTGTTCCTAGTGTGATGAAAATGCTGCTTGTGTTAAGTTATGCATATATTACTTACTGTTTGCTTTTCTTGGTAAGGAACTATTTTATTCCTAATTTTT